GTCGCAATTCCTTGTTGGGGACGATGGTGCATTTTTCCGACGTGATTTTGATGATTGTTGTAATGACTTTGACTCAAAGAGAGGAGAACGCGAGACCGGTGGTACTGGGTGGAGGAATTACTTTGATGGTGATGATGTCGCTTGTTAGAATGATGATTAGTTATCGATGACGTTGGGATGATGGGTGTCACGTCTTCCACGTCAGCATCGCTGAGTGACCCGTTCGTCATAACGTCCACATCCATCTCGACGGATGTGTCGGAAGAGTAGTCGTGATGATTGTTGGCATGATTGCGACTTAGATTGTACGGAGATTCTCGTTTGTAGTCCGGCTCTGGGGAAGAAGTTGACCTAATTGTTTGCCCAGAAAGTGATGAACCGAGTCCTCCTTTAAGCACGTGGCTGCCGTAGTGGTGCTTATTGTTGTTGCTCTCTTTATCCGACTCTCCGTTATTGTTGGATTCACTCTGCCCCGTTAAAAATGCAATGTCAAAAGTTCTCTTTTTCCTCCCAGTTTCTTGACTTGCGTCACTTTGCGGTGATTTGTGGCTCGGGCTGCAGGTTTGTTCGTCTTGTTTGCACATTGTCGAAGTACAACCGGATGCTGATAAGGACGTCATTTTAGAAGAAAAAGAAAATGTCAAAAACTTATGTCTGTCACGTAACACTTTCGTAAAAAGTTTTCACGACTAACGTGTCATTTGAGACGTACACTGTTCAATTGCGACTGATTTCGTTTTTCACTGGAAATGACAGATTGCACTCGGTTCACAGAGACAAAGAGGGGATTCCCGTGAATCAAATTAGAAATAAACAGAGTCAGATCACATATGTGATAAGTTTGTAGCTCGTTTAAACACAACGGAGTTAGAGATCCTGTTATAGACTGAGAATAATGAGAGCGGACAGATCAGGGGTCCACACGCAATAAGGTCCACTACTCCTTTACGATGTGAATGAATTGGAAGGGATGGCCCTTAAAAGAGCTCACCATTGTGCGTAAAAGTCCCCACCACCGTTGCAACAAGTCCTACAGTAGTAGAGATCGGACTGCTTTTAATCAATGCAATGCAGTGATGATGATGATGATGAATCCCAAAGTAAATGAATGAATGACAAGCAAGCAGATGTTCTCGGGGTCCCTTATGTATCCGCTTTATTATTATTCTCGGTCAAAATAATACCACACCGCACATTGAGTCAGCAAGAAGTGAGTACTTCGGGGTGGACTTGTACAATCCAACTGGGAGAGGAACAGGCAGGTTCTGTCTTTTTAACCCGGTTTCTGTTCTGGATGAGAGTGAGACTACTACCCGGGTATCCTCCTGCTCACTCACTCACTCACTCGAGAGTCAAGCTTACGTAGATAGAACGTCCACATTATTGCTGGGAGCACATTGAAGATTGTCGTGGTGGTAGATGGGCAGATTGTTGTTGGGATGGATGGGCATTGAAACCAAATACCCACTCCAGCCAGTCACCCGGGTAGCGAGCAGTTGGAATCTTGAGGGTTTTACGAAGAGGGTGACATTTACCCCACGGAATAAATATGTATTCATCATCCCCGTGTTGTGCTAAACGTTCTTGCCAAACTACATGCGTGATATGCGATCCACTTGACTATGTATCGGGCAGTGTATCATTTTTCATTTTATTCGTACATAAAAAAGTACATGGATTAAAAATATGTGTAGCAAAACTAAGTTTTTTAAAATTTCCCTACCTCTTGAGTTGGGTCAAAATTTCCGGATTTGATATTGAAATAATTTTTGAGTATTTCCTGAATATTTTTCATGTTGTCTCCGGAAATTTTGACCCAATTCAAGAAAGTTAAGGAAATTTTAGAAACGTGGGTTTGTTAATTTGCTAACTGCCTATTATTTGCATGATTTTTATCCAGATTAGAAATTAAGGGACATGAAATTGTGAAACAAAGCCTTCCAAAAGTAGGACCAAGCAATAATGCATACATAAATCTTTTCGCCAAACGTGAAACCCCAATCTGGTCGGTGCTCATCAGCGAGATTAAGGCCGGTTTCATCCTCCTCCCATTGTGCAATACTTGTCCATATGGCCAGGAGTAGTGGCACAGTAGGAACTGATGGTTTTCGAACAGAGGGAAAGTATTTACGTATATAAAGTGTAAGTGGATTTCCTTGTTCCCTCAATCTGCTCCTGCGACTTATTATTTACAATACACACACGTCCATCATTTCATATGGGGCAGAGCAGCAGAGTTACTTATGAAAATGAAATTCATTATGCATTGTTATTTAAAAGTTTTTTTTTGCTTACACAAGCAGAACGGAAAATTTGTGAACAACGAAAATGGTGGCGTTAATGCAATTGAAATTATGTATTATTAAAATGTTGCATTTTTATTAGTAAATTTACTATTCGACCTACTATTGATCAAAAAGCTTGCAAAACTGTAACAAAATAATTTTGGACGTCCAAACTATCCAAAAGCGTCCAACATTGGAAAATGGGGCAAAATGTTACAAGTTCTTTACTGACGAGTTCTTGTAAATCTATGCATTTATGTATTATGTAATCTAATCTCCCATTCATTTTGAGAATTTTGGTGTGTGGTACCACGAAATTTGGATTTTTCTGTTGTAACATGTTTTGTTATGAGAAATCAAGAAATTTTCTAAACCATGCCGTTTTACACACCCAAAATTAGCAGGATTGCATATGTAACGCCAATGGATTATCGCAGTAATGAAGAACTTATAATATTTTGCCTCATTTTCTATTTTGGAAACTTGGACGTCCAAAACTGGTTAAAACCGGTATTGGAAAATGGTTAAAACCACAGCGAAACCCTGATTTTCACATTGATCTGTAAACATATTTATTTATATGTATTTCGGGTAAAATCGTATTTGTATGGGTCAAAATCGACAGAATTTTTAGGTTTCGTCCATTTGGCATGGGAGGAAAAAAATGAAAATATTGCTTTTGGAATACCCATTTCCAACCTCATTGGATCATTTCATCCCTGGCGATTGGATTAGCTTTACTCTTACTTCCAGTAGAATGAGTACATTTCCTTAATTTTTATGTGATACGGTTTGACTGGAAGGGAAGGAATTGATACGGTCGGCAGGACATGGTAGCAGCAGCAGAAATATATATATTTATATGCTTTGATTCATATTAAAATCATACATTTTGCTTCGTTGGTTGGTTTTATGTTGGTTTTAAGATTCATCACATATCCGTCAACTCTCTCCGTCTATACACATAATTTGATTTAGACTAATCGATTCCGACACTCGATCTGATGTTCCTCTCAGAACGATCCATTTATTTAGGAACGAATCGTTACTTTTAACGGATGGATATTATTTAATGCTTGTAAGTTCTTCCACCCTTCAAGCTGGAGATTTGCATGAAACTAATGGAACATATTTTGAATATGAGTACTGTATCAAATTTTGAGGTTCTCTTGTTACAAGAGAACGCATCTACTTTTTAATGGATTTAGTTGCATTTTTTAAAAATACTGATAAAGTAGGGTTGTTCGTTATATACCTAAATTTTTAACTGACTGGTATCACACGTCTACGAAACATATCTCGTTTAATCCGAACTGCCGAGATTCAAACTCTGACTGAACCAATTTCATAATTATGCTGGCTAAAATGCGAGATAATTTAATTGTGCTCACATGAAAAAGAGGGGACACGGACTCACATTCACAGATTCGCCACATCACGATCGTCACAATGGGATCCAGTCATAGATCTTCATCTACGAGGGTGATAATTGACAAGAGCCCGGTTCCGTCCCAAACTCCAACCAAACCAAACATATTTCCTTCCGCTTGGCTCAATGCAAACAAAACTGTGATGACCACGATGGCGATATTTTTTTCTTTGTTGAATTGTCCATCACTTCTTCAAAGTTATGATTTTCGATATTTCTGCCCCCCTTCCCACGGTCGGGAGACGATCCACGAGGGAGCAACAAAGCATAAGTTTAATTGCCTCTGACGAGTCGGTTTTAATTTTATTTGCTGTAACTAACAAGACAAGTTTGTCCTCTTGCCATCTTTTTCGTCCCCAGAGACCCATGAAAGGGTAATCAGAGAGGTAAAAGTTAGTTATCAGCGGCGTCAGTCAACTCGTACTGCGTGTGCACCATAAATACAATGTACATACTGTACTTGTTCACTTTTGGGTTTATTGTTGTGGTGCAGACCCTGGTGAGCGTTTAGTATGCAAATCATCAATACTTTTATGACATGAAAAGGGCGCAGAGCTTATCTATAATTAGGATCAGATCAAAGTACCGTTTTTGCAAAAAAATGATAAATGTTGGTTTGGTGCGTCTATTTCTTCACTAGTCCTCCGGCGAAATCTTGAGTATTTACATTTCGTAAACGGTTACACGTACCACAAGATTTTCCTCCGATCTGTCCGTGAAGAGAAAGGTGTTGCATTTGCCGTCGGGGGGTATCATCTACATGCATAAAGATCAGCAAGCAGGGGTGAGTGAGCTGCTGCGAAATCCAGCTTTCTTTCAGCCAGAGCGACTGTGTGCGTGTATTCATGTAGATTGTAATCTATTTCCTGAAATTTACTTTCCTAAATTGGGTTATGCTGATGAACCAAGAGCGATGGTACGGCAACTTATCTGTGTACGAAAGGGAGTCAAATATCCATCCCATCATGAACAAAATGATGAATATGAAAGATGAAACGTGCTTCGGGGCATCAATAATACCGCAAACTAAACTCTGATACACAACAAACTTAGCATTTTGTTTGGGTGATAAAGTTGGAAATACGTAGATGCGACATTGAGACGAAATTGATTGGTTTTAAATTATTCATTGGAAACTATGTAATAATCGGGTAGGTTTTTGTGTGCTGGGTTTTCGTGGAAAAGATTTTGTACCAAAATAACATTAGTTTACGGATATAGACAGATATGTCAAAATACTGTGACGTTTTAGAAAACCCGATAACTTGTAGGTCCAAAGGATCCCACAATCTCACAGAAATGATCACTATCAGCAAATCTCAAATTTCATTTCACCCCAAATTGCATTAAGCAATCTTTATTGTGCATCAAATACTGTACAACAAATGGTCCGTGAGATGAGATAGTTTTAGACATCTTTAATTGATCAGAGCAAAAATGAACATACTTTCATTCTTGAAAGTTTGCACATAAGAAAAACCACCAACGCCATAAACCAAGACAATGGGATGAACCTCAACCCCATCTGGTCATCATTAATGTTGCCACTTATTTAAATTCCATAACTACATTTGTATAATTCAACAAATTATCATTTCTTGACAATTTAGAACTGCACTGTATTTCAATTCCAAAAATTGTTAAAATTCCTCATTTTCCTGATGATGATGCGAGTTTAGCATCGAAAGCTCGAATAAACTGCTTTTATAAACCACACCCATGTATTCCGACGAAGCCTCCTCAAATTTTGAATTTCATGGATGGAAGAACCTAAAACATCAAATAAACAGACGTTTCGGATCGTCTATACTAAGCTGCGTAAAATTTTTGGAAAAAGAAGAACAAAGCACAATTAAATTAAAGAATGATATAATCTTCCTAAAAAGATGCAAATTCAACAATTTAACACCAACGGGTTTAAGAATAAAAAACTTCTGGAATCACATCCCGAAATCGACCCACTTGTTTAAAGAAATGGAAAAAAGGTTAATTAAACAACAAATTCACCTCAACTTCTCAAAATTGAAGAGACTCGAGGACTCAATCACTGCCAAAAGACAACGGCTTAGTATTCTACCCGAAGAATTAGTGGATCAAATCTACAAATATATCAACGATGACAAAAAAACTTTCAACACCACAATCCGAGAGAAACAAATGAAGAAGTTCGAAAATCTCTCACGAAAAAAATTAATCCTCGAAGAGAAATCACATTCCACACAACGCCAATCTCCACATAATCATGATGCGAACAAAGAGATTCAGGACATGAAAAGGAGCGTCCTAAATTTATCACAACGTCAACTCACCAAGGATGAAACGAAGGCACTCCAACTTGGATTAAACTTCGCCCTCCCACATTTTAAACATAAAGACCTATTAATCGAAGCGGGGATAAACATTGAACTTTGCATGCAGGATTTTGAGAATAGTGAAAACTACAAAAATCATATAAGATCAGGTATTGCAAGAATTTTGCACTCACAAGTCAACAAACCTGATGAATTCACCAAATCATTCGACTGGTTAAAACCAATATGCACAAATCTCAAAAAAGATCAAAATATCGTCATCCTACCTGCTGATAAAGGCAACATGACTGTGATTATGGACAAAACAAATTATGAGACCAAAATAGAAGAACTACTCTCAGACCCGAGTTACTCTCCACTACCAAATGACCCCACCTCCAAATTAGAAGCTGAAATTAACAATATATCAAAAAATCTACTCAAAATGAAAAAACTAGACAAATCACAACACCAAAATATCAATCCAACGAACTCAAAGATTCCTCAGTTTTATGGATTACCGAAGGTACACAAACCAGGACTACCGTTCCGACCTATCGTGGACTTTCGTTCCTCACCTTCCTACAATCTTGCCCATTTTTTGAACAAAATTCTGAAGAAGATCACGTCAAATTTCCCAACCCACATTAAAAATTCATACGAATTCGCCAAGGATATCAAGAGCTTCACTGTACCCCCCGGATATGAACTCGTCTCATTCGACGTAACTTCTTTATTCACTCGAGTTCCAGTCAAAGAAACTCTAACAATCATTAAGAAAAGACTAGATACATCGACAACCTGGAAAACAAAAACCAAGTTAAATGCAGATGAAATCTTAAAATTACTACAAATCACAATAAACTCAAACTATTTTACTTGGAAAAACGTCACATACAAACAAAATGACGGTACTCCAATGGGCAGCCCAATCTCCGGTGAGTTTGCAGAATTCTTCCTCCAAGAACTAGAAAAAAAGGTCGTCCTCAAACACCCCGACATAAAATTACATAAACGATTCGTGGATGACTGTTTCTCGTGCATAAAATCAGGAACAAAAGACAGAATCTTACATGACCTCAACTCATTCCATCCAAACATACAATTCACCTGTGAATCAGAAATAGACAAGAAAATTGCCTTTCTCGACATCATAATTACATACAATAATGATGGACAAATACAACGACAAGTTTATCGAAAACCCACTCACACAGGGAGATACCTAAATTACTCATCTTACCACCACCCTTCCCAAAAGATTGCTGTAATTGATGCTTTAGTTTACAGAGCATTAGCAATTTCTGATGACCAATTCTTAAAGGATGAACTTACCTTTGTGGCCACCTCACTAAAAAACAATGGCTACCCAAAAAGTCTCATCAACCAACGAATATCAAGAATGAAGAAAAAATTCTCAAATACGACACTCCAACCAAACGGTGACGAAGAAAAAAAGCCAAGGATCATTCTTCCATATATGGGACCGCTTACCCACCGATTAACTGGTTACCTCCGGAGAAAACTTCAATGCGAATTTGGATACCTCACGGGAAAAAAGATGAAACAATTTATTTGTGATTACAAGGAAAACCCACCTCCAGACCTGGTAGGAATTTATCAAATTTTATGCTCATGTAATGACAAATACATAGGAGAAACCAGCCGACCCCTCGTCAAACGCATCAAAGAACACCTGAACGACATCAAAAAGAAAAATGTCAAATCAGCGGTAGCATTACACATTTTAGAAAATCCAAGTCATCGGATAACAGAAGACTCAGCAAGTCTCCTTATTGCCGAAAGAAGAAATTTTCACAGAAAATTTCTTGAAAGTTTGCACATAAGAAAAACCACCAACGCCATAAACCAAGACAATGGGATGAACCTCAACCCCATCTGGTCATCATTAATGTTGCCACTTATTTAAATTCCATAACTACATTTGTATAATTCAACAAATTATCATTTCTTGACAATTTAGAACTGCACTGTATTTCAATTCCAAAAATTGTTAAAATTCCTCATTTTCCTGATGATGATGCGAGTTTAGCATCGAAAGCTCGAATAAACTGCTTTTATAAACCACACCCATGTATTCCGACGAAGCCTCCTCATACTTTCATTGTATCTACATAAATCAAGAATTATAAAGTAGGCTGCTAATGTTTACATATGTATGAGGGATACTTATTTATGTTGGTAACTTCTTATCTTATCTTATCTTCTTATCTTATCGCGCAAAAAAGTAATTCTTTAGCACTGTATTTCCTACTCATCCATCATCATCTTCTTCATCTTCTTCTTCCTGTTCCTCCTGTTCCTCCTCATCGTCGTTGTCCTCATCATTACTCGGATCCACAAGCGTAATTTTTGACGCGTTTATAGCAATTAAAGCTTGATAGTCGTCATATTGATCCTGCGAGCAAGGTGCAAAAAATATGTACATCATGCATTCAAGTCAAGTGACAAATTTCGTAAAATTATACAAATTACTTTTGTTTGATTAAGATCCACTGTAACTAGGTTAGGCAATTCGAATAATTTTAGAAGCATGTCCATCCCCACTTTGGTATTGGAGAGGTAGATTGATTCCAAAGCTGCATAGGATCGACGTAACTAACGTAAGACTCGATGACTCATAGACAAAACAGTACATTTTTAATATTTATCGGCTCTGGGAATTTTTTTAAAATTCTAGAGTTTGTAGAGTAGGTCGTTGCTAGTTTTTTACAAAAATATAGATTCCAGATTTTGACACTTTATGAAGGCGGAGAGAAGCCTTCAGAAAGATTTGAACTCATCGAAACTCGCTGACCTTAAGAAATCTCATCCCCATTCAGTTAATCAACTCACTGACTACAAATTTGTCTCCAGAATTTTAAAATAAGTTCCCAGAGCTGAGAAATGATTAATGACGACGAGTAATCGAGTCCTACGTTAATGCTATTTTTAAAAAAGAGGGTGTGTCAGTCATAAAAATATCTATCTACCTTTTAGCTCCGAAAAAATAAAGAGCCACGAATTATCCAGGTCGGTAGAAGAAAAGTCCAAACTTGTCAAACAGTCGGCCAGATAGAAAAGACAGTCTTTTTGCGCAGAATAAAAACCATCAAAGTGCGATATTTCCAGCGTCTGAAGCTTTCTACTATCGCCATCATCCGGTGTGATGACATAGTTCAACAGGGTTTTCATGAAGACTGGTTCAGAAGGTATGCCTCCAACTTCGACATGTTCCAAAACGTCCGACCCACTCTTGAAGAATTTTACATACTCGTCAATAATATTTCCTGATGTGACACGATTTTCCCGAAATGTGACACGACTTAAAAATTGACATTTTCCAAATATTTGACTAATCACTCCTTCCTCGAGGTTACAATGTTCGATCGTCAAATTCTTCAGGAATGGAACGCAACTGGCGAAATCGTGTAAAACTTGGTAATGAATGAAGGCCATGTTGGTCATTTCGAGAGTGGTGAGATTTTCAAGTCTATGCTTGACCAAGGCGAAGTGATCCATCGGGATCACATTCAGACTCAGGGTTTCCAACCTGTTCAGTTTAACTCTGTTCACGTAAACGGAGGCCCAGAAGGAGACAAATTTGCTTTCATCTGTTATATAACTTCCGGAGTTTCCACTGAGGAAGAGTTCCTTCAGGGTGGCTTGGCAATTTCCCATGGCACGAACGATCGACGCTTTTGGAAATTCACTTTCCTCGTCAGTCGTCGTGTAGATTGTGAGGTGCTCTAAAGACGTAGAATTGTTTAGGAAATACCAGAGAGCTCGGTCGTCATCCAAGGCATCGCTACCTTGTTCAATTAATGACAACTTCTTGAGGGATCGAAGTCTTGCTGTGAATGGTTGAATGAATTGGTTCCAATTCTGCCAAAGACACATTTAAAATTTACTCTTGGCATCTTAACGTAGGACTCAATGACGCATCACCAAAATTTTTAATCATTTCTCGGCTCTGGGAATTTATTTTAAAATTCTGAGCGACGAATTTGTAGTCAGTAAGGTGATTAACAGAATGGCGGTGAGTTTTAGCCAGCTTCGACGAATTTCAATTTTTCTGAAGGCTTCCTAACCTTGAAATCTTCAAAAACTATTATAATCTGGAATGCATAATAAAATTGGCGTCGAACTGCTCTAAAAATTTATCTAGAATTTTAAAATAACTTTCCAGAGCAAAAAAAAGTGATTCAAAATGTGCTGATTTTGACGATGAGTCCTACACTTTAATTGGCAAATGAGTGAATACAAATTCTTTTCACTTTAGCATACCAGGAATTCCAAAGGATTTTGCTTTTTGTACAAATCTGGAACTTCTTCCAGGCTCAGCTCGGTTAGGACGTAGAGAAACGAAACCAGCTCCATGAAACGCCCCAACAAAATTTCAACCTTCTTAAGAGTTAGCGATTTTAAGGTAAACTGCCAACGACGTGAGACACGCGTAAAACTAAATTCTTTATCCAAGATGATTTCCCCCAGATTAAAATTTCGTAATTCAAGATTAATCCATCCCACCGGGGTGTTGACCAGAAATTTATAAATTTCATCATCCTCTGTTTCATTGCCGTTGACTAAGAGGAGACAGTCCTTCAGGAAATGAGGCGTTGTGAAGAGGGCATTAAAATCTTGACTGACGAGACGGGCATTTAACTTATCGGCGAAGGGAAGTTTACTAAAGACGTGTTGAAGGCATTGGTACAGATTCTGCAGGAATATTAAATATGTGGATAAGTTCATAGCATAGCGTTAAATTTTTTGCATTCATGTCATGTATACGCACCTTCTCCATATCAAAAAGATTTTCGTTTTCCACCAGGTACTTGAACTTTTATGTGTATGCATGAAATCAAATGTAGCCATACGTATGCTGACAATTGTTTGGTTCACTTATCGTCTCGTGAAAGTAGAAATTTCAAAGAGGGGCATGTCTGATTTGAGAACCTTTTGAGTTGCCTATGATACTAACGATGTTAATATTCGGTGGATTGCTTCATTTTATTTGTCAAATTGCCCCTCGAACAATTAACCTTATAAAAACTAATTAATTTTGACCTGGATACCATTTAAAAACGGAATTAAAAATGGTTTCTATTGCATTTGGGGGCGGATTTACTGGGGGGCAGAATACCATTGAGACCGACTTGTGGGGCGGTGATAAAATCAGTTGGGGACTGAATTAATGCAAACCGATTTTGAATATTCTACTGATGCAGTTATGATTTATTAGAGACCTGGAACTGATTCGACAACAAAAATTAGAACATAATACATTTTTAACATGAAATTGCAACTGAACCAAATGAACACACGATATTAATTTTGATAAAAAGATCGGATTTGATTTTGATAGTACTACAAAAATAAACTAAACGAATAAATCGTCATCATTCATGTCATCAATTTGATGACACTGATTTTGGGATGCATTTTATATTTTAAACAAGTTATTAGCTATAATTTTGTCCTTCAGTGTTCTGTGACTTGTTCCGATCGGTGGTGACACTATTGCGAATATATTAGCTAAAGAGAACGTTGTGATAATTTTAAAAAAATATGAACTGTATCATATTTACAACATGATACAGGTCAGAGGTCAACGCCGACCAATTTATTAGCGGCGCCCATGTTGGATAATTTTTCGGGGGCGCGGCGTGACCTCTGATGCACTTCCTCCGAGTTCCTCCCCCCACTACAACTACAACTCTAAACTCTAAAAAAATTAGTTCAGGCTTGAAGAAAAACCAACGACAAATAAGGAGGAAAGAATGGAACTGAGAAAATTTTCTCGGTCATTTTATTTTTATTTTTTCCTACACCTTATTGATGTAGCCCGGTCTCAACGGAATTCTGTAACCATACACCTTATTGGTGGAATCCGTCGCCAACGAGAAAAAGTTGGCCTACACCTTATTGGTGTAGTCCGTCGCTAAGGCGAAAAATTTGGCCTACACCTTATTGGTGTAGTCCGTCGCCAAGAGATCGAAATCGCCCTCCACCTTATTGGTGGAATCCGTTTTTAAAAGGTTAAGTAATTGTTGTATAAGATCGGGATTTTGTGAAAGAAGTAAATTGGCTAAAATAAGTTTGATATGTTTCTTACATAAATCTCATCAACATTATTGCTAACATTGCTACATATTTAGTTAAGTAGTCAAATTCGAGGTCGGTGGCCACTGGATAAATTGTATTTCATTCTAGGCATACTATAATTTAGGACTATTCACGGTGCAGGTACATCACTAAGGTCTGAGAAATCCGATGGTGAGGGGGATCGGTTATTGGTGGACCCTGATACGGCAGCATGGTACAGGGCGTGAAGGCGTGACATTACTGTTGTGAAGACACATATTTACACAAATGCAAAAACAATAATAATTTGAGACTGACAATTACAAAACAAAATAATAATGTACATGTAAAAGGTGGACACGTGTTAGTTAAAAAAGGAAGTCTATTTTGATAAGAGGGTACTCTGATTTATTAGGAATAATATCAACACAAATCACAAACATTTCAAAACTAAAGCATCACAGAACATACTACATACATTTACATACGGGAAAGAAGTGCAAGCTACCTAATTGTAGGTATGTATTTAGTGATTAAGATTAACATTAGATGTAAATAGGTAATTAAAGCTGAGAATATCTCGTAATACTGTTTGTTGTGGGATCAATAATTTTAGAGATTCGACCGGTATGTAAGTTAGAACCAGTACTAGCAAAAAATGTAGCACACTTGTAGTACTATGGATTAATAACAAGCATAAAGCTCTTTAAGTTTAAGGCTAAAAATTAAAATAAAACGATTACAAAATGTAAATTCGTTCCATTTTTTAAAAATAATTACATAGATATCTTTTGTAAGGCATTTAACAAAGCACATTCCAATGATAACAGTTTTTGTAAATACAAAACTTTGAAGACTGCACAACTGAAACTGTTGATTGCACAGTTTTTATGATAACAACAAATTAGAAACAAGAGCGAGTGGTTATTCAACACAGGGGTTATTCAACAGGGTAAGTTTGAAGGTTTTGATCTAGATTTTAGCTATGTAGGCAGTCCAAGTCCCAGTGTCTTACCCGTAGGTGTGGTAGGACTGACGTTTTCATCTTCTTCCTTAATAGTCCTGCTTGCTTCCCAATCCTTGCGTTCGTTCATCAGATCGTGGAGAACCTGTGGACAGAGAGAAAAGTATATTTGTGTACACATGTACTCAAGTAACTGTAATTAGTTAATATTGAATAATAAAATAAGTACGCACATTTTTGTCCTTAATTACTACGATTCGGCCCTCAACCATCGGCTTAAGCAAACAAGTTTGCTTCTCCATTTCTTCAACGACATTACCCTGTATGGATGTAACCATTTATTTAGTCGAATAGCGTTAAGATCATAATTGAGAAGATAAGATCAGGCTGGCACCTGTCTGGACAATGATGGACGGGGTGAGAGAGAATTGCATCTATCCAGTGATGGCGAAGCATGGTTCAAGTCATGGACTGCACTCATTGACCGCAATAAGCTGTGTCTTCGTGATAATGTAATCAGCGATTGATGATGTCGAGAATGCTTCGCATTTAACGCAGTTCCCGATCCTACCTCCTGACCCACCATTTGGACAGCATGAAAATGGTTTTGAATTGCTAGAAATGTTAAATTACATACATTTAGTGTAACCCCATAATTTCAACTTGCCAATTATGCAACTCACCTGTACTAAGTTCTAGGCACTGATCAGAGTCGGCCTACAAAAACATGCAAAATGAAATATACTATTCTCGTACTAGTCACTTATCGTTTTAGGTAAGCATATTAATTTCATACCAAAACTTCCGCATTTGCCAACACTGTATATCCATCATGACCAGTTGCTATATACTGAAAAAAAGCATTGGGCAATTACTTAAGTACAAAATAAATGAACAAAATTAAATTGGAAGACATACCTCTTTGGTTACTAGACGGTAGGATTGATGAGGCTGGAGATATTCATCTCCCACTTTTACAAACTTTGGATCAACTCTATTCCCAGCAGGTTTGGAAGGATCAAAGGCAAATCGTAAACCTGATATTTGCGGAAAACGACCTTCTAATTTTGGATATTGAGAAACGCCATTTTCCAAGGCTTCTATAAGTTGCGAGCCTACAGAGCATATCAGCAGCGTATTAAGTTCTCATTTCCCATTAGATTTAATTAGTCCAGTGTGGTTTACTTTAAAAGTAGCATAAGAAACTAATAAATAGCTAAGTAGATACCTGTAACATTCAGGACAACTAGGGAATCCATCATCGGTAAAACCGTCATCATATCGCGTCTCGTAAACGGGCCGGCAGGATGAATCCGGCTAGAGAAAATAAGTATGCGTAACATTAATATTTATGATATTGCCTCAGTTAAACTTAAATGGCGTGACATTCTTAACATGGCACGTAATAGTATAATAAGTTGTCACGCTTCACCGAGAAAGATGTAGCAGCGATACTTTGAAATATATCAACTTGTTTCATACACAAATCTCTCTTATAAAAATTATATTCTTACTCGCTACGAAGCGTTCCACTGTTCACAAGTGAGCAATCACCATTACAGCTTGCCACCATGATGTCACAGACAAAGTTTCCTAAATTAGACTCCTGCGTTCGGACTACCTCAAATCTGCCATCAATATCGACGTGAAATTCTCCCAGAATATCTTCCAACTTGGAACTCATCGTGGCTAAACAATGTAAAAGTATGTCACCACTCTGTGCAAATGTTACATACTAATAACCTTTAAATGTGACCTTACCAGTAAAAACATCCAACTCTGCCTTTAATGCAGCATCTTCTTCATAATCGGAAGTAATGGATATTCTTTCTATGTTAAACTTAGGCTTGTTGGCATTGTCTTTGTCAAATGTAACGCTTATTGCACTGAAATCACAATGAATTATCAGTTCGACCAATCATAATCAATTCACGTCTGTAACAATTATTGATACCTGAAATCACGAAAGTCTGTCCCACTTTTCAAGACTGGAATTCCATTGATCTAAAGAAAGCCTTCAGATTCATCTTCATCCACTATGATGAATTAATACATATGAATGTGATTCGCTTACATATTTTACATCATATACATGATCATGTCCTCCAAGGATAAGGTCAATCCCTTTGCAATTTTCAGCTAGACGACAGTCATTAGGAAATCTAGAAATTACATACTTGATCATATCTTTTGCGAATTACCGTTTAAATAGTCCTACCAAAGAATTATACATACCTCATATGCGTTAAAGCAACAATGATATCACATCCCTGCATAAAAGTATACCATTTAGCATAGGACATAGCCTTGATAAATGTTTTAAGCAGGTACCTCTTTTCTTAACTTTGCTGACAAGTCATTCCCAGCATCGACATAATCAGTGTACGTAACTGCCTCGGGATCGATGGTAGATAGAGTTTCCATCTTTATAAAATCAACTTTTGTAAAAAAACAATATAAAGGAACGAAGATTTTCTAATATACATAGATTTTCATACCCATTCCCATTCCACCAATCCCATCTAAATATAAATAAGTATATATGCGTCATGAAATTGATTGATACATTTTCGCATGTTTGTACATACCAATCCAATTTTCCTTCCATGACGCTCAAGCACTTGCGTAATATGACCTTCGCCCAGGGGACGATTGGTCTCATTATCTGAAACAAATTTTCGAATTTAACAGACTGAGCTTCTTGCATGAGGATATGTGGAGTAACTATTAACGTGGCAGAAATTTTGGACCACTTAAACCGTTGCTTTAATATGGTTTAGCTAATCATAATTGGTCCGCCTATATTTACCTATAACGTTTGACATCAACCATGGGAAGGTCGTCTTTTTCACCCAGTCAGCCAAAATGTCAACGCCAAAATCTGCAAGACAACAATAGAGAAATAATCTAATTTCCCATGGGCTTGGATAATTGGTTAAAGTCCAGTCCAATCCAATTTAACCGATCGATATAAAATATGCTTGTTGACCGTTGAGTCGGTTAGATAATGCACTTGGCTTGTCCACACAATTAAATTGCCTATCAGCAGACATCCCATTAATTATGAGCACCAGCATTCATGATAAAGTGTCATTTCAACAAGCGTGCAAAAACACTATTACATTGGTCAATATTTTTAAATTGGACAGTCATTTAAGACAATCTAGACAGATATCCACTCCACTTCAACATGTTTTTAAAATAGATTTTTGTTAATTACCAAAATCATGATTGCCAAACACAGAACAATCTGTCCGACAATGATTCAAAACCGGAATCATTTGCTCCCCTTTAGTAAATTGAGACACTGCAATATCACAAACATTACAATTAATTTGACTCCTATGTTTGACAGTCACTGTTATTTAGATTTATTTGACACTTTTGGTCGCTTACATAGACTCGGAGAAAAACAATCTCCAGAAAAAAGCACTACTGGATTCAATTGAGCATATTTCTTGACTGCGGTGCCTAAAAGGAAACAGACGAATGTAAATATAGAAAGTTATTACATACATAGTGATTTTATGAGACTTACAAAACCGAGCCGCTCCCCCAATAGGCTCCTTCTTCTGGCTCTCCACATCGTAGACCTATGACATTTGGATTTAATTAATTATGCATGTCAATTTATTTAGTACTTCCTAGTCATCAATAATTTTAGGAACATTCTGATTAAAATCGTTATGCATGATTAATGATTAAGTTCAAATACTTCTTACATCATTAAAATGAATAATAGTCAAATCCGGCTGTAAAAAACAGGACATAATTTTAATTCTCAATAGATTAATAATAAATAATTTCGATTTAATCTAATTTAACTTACTGGACCACTTCCTGTTCCTGCTCCGTTCTGGCTAGCCATCTTTTACTTATTTACTATCAAATTATTTGTAAAGCTCTAATTTCGTTGTATTTTCTTCTCAAACAGGTAACAAGTTATGTCTTTATTTACTAAATTTTAACCAGCAATTAAAATCCCTTTGTTTTGTTTACCATAAAATCAATTTAGTTTAGTTTCTTTCTCCGAAATAAAAAAGAAAGTGAAAATCAATACTTTTCCTTCCTTTCACTCGACATCGACAAGCACAATGCAGTGCAAATTTATTTACGGCCTATTCCAAAGTTTAACAGGGGCAATAACAATAATAAATAACTGACCACTAAAATTTTATCTGTTTTAAATGGAAAGGTCAAAGGGCACCTTACACCATAATTTATTGGTTAGTGAATCGATTTATTATCAGGAAAATTGAGAGGTTTTGTCCGAACAGTGATAATTGGCAGGCGACTCACGAGCGAGTGAGACCAAAAACCAAGTTCGCTCGCTCTTTCTCTCTCTCTGCCGACTGCATGACTACTTTATGCCATGATAAAAATGCAAATATTTCATGAGGTTTGATGCATACGAAATGACCGATAAGTACATTATGATGATAAACTAATTTCTCAAATTTTGAAATTTTCGTCATAAAAATACATGCAAATATGATAATTGCTGGTTAAAATTTAGTAAACAAATACATAATTTGTGGCCCGATGAAGTTCAATCTGCTTGAGAAGAAAATAAATACAAAAATAAATTACACGAAAGTCATCTTGGAAATTAGACAAAAATTCGAGAATTTTTTCATCTTGAAACACAAACTTGTTTTTGAAATTATCCAAATTTTTCATAGCAATTGGTTTTCCATGTATCTAATTTGGAAATGACAACGGTACAATTTAATCCAAACCTGAAATCGGCGTCGAGGAGTACAAAAATGTAACAAAATTAAGAGAAATTCATACTTTTTACAAATAATTTCATATTAAATAAGAAATGAGTAGCGAGAACGGAGCAGGAATAGGAAGTAGTCCAGTTAAATTCAATTCAATTCAATTAAATCGAAATTACTTAATTTTTTATATTAATCTATTGAGACTTATCCTTAGAAAACCGTATTCAGTTTTTATTTAGCCTGAGTCAGGGCTTATATGCTCGTAATGACTGTCTGTCTGTCTGTCCATTTACACGTGAATAAAAGTTGAAATGAAATGAAAATGTCCGTCTATGAATTACGTTCATAAAACTTATCCAATCGACTTGCAATTTTGCACACACGTAGATTATGCAAAATTAGGAATTATGTAGTTAATCATGGCATGGCTTGTAAAAATATTTCATGAATTCGAAATGACCGTGATAAGCATTTTATTATGATAAACTATTTTCTCAAGTATTAAAGCTTTCTTCATAAAAACGATGCATGCAAATAATTTTATGATTTCAACGTTTTCTCAGTAGTAAAAATCTTTTAATCGTCATCAGATTATTTTTTAGTAATTATTTATCATCGTATAATACGGACTTAATCATACCGGGTCTTGACATAATTCTAAATTTTTAACCAGTATTTTTCTCAGTTTTCTCAGATCTACAAAAACAAAATTAAATTATTACAATAAATATTCCAGAGAGCACGCTTTGTTCATGTCATGCGTGCATGAAATAATTTCGTAAATAAATTAACGACATTTTTAATTCTACTAACACATTTCTCGTTACGCTATTTTATATTCTGCTGATTCTAATTGATAGTCTCCGTTTTTAGGGCTTAAATTAGTTATAACTATTTAATGTGTAGTGTTATATTAATATTTACGATGTCATCGTCGCCATAATTAAACCGATACCGTTTATGAATATTGTTTTAGCCGAGTTGGTTTGGTTTTGTACTATGGACTACTTTAATAAGGGGATGACAAATTATTAGTACAATTTAAAGCTTATAATAATATATTAAATTATGCCTACTCCACATTTGACATTGATTTTAAAACCGGCTAAAACTAGTGGTACGGTTAGTCTGCTCTTCGTCATTAATTATTTTTAATTTTAATATGGTACAAAATGTAATGCGTCAAGAGTTGGCTGGGAAAGTTTCGAACTGTGTCATTACATATTCGATCAACTGGTCACAATTCTGGCGGATCGTAAATTTAAATAACGATTAGCACGCTGCGAACTATGTGTGTAGTAGCAAATTACAGTTAAATTCAGTTATAAATTAGTTTTAGCTATCAATTACATAGTCACGTATCTGAATTATTTTTACGTACGAATCTACTAATTACATGTTCAATTTTACAGAATTACGCTCCTCTACAAATTTACAAACATGCCGTTCTAAAATTATGAATAAAGTTTTCTCTGATGGTAATTAAATTATGTAATTTATCATCTTTCCCTTAGTAAACCCTGAGCTGTACAATAATATTTTTTTAGTGTGGCATACATAAGTATGAGTGGTCATGCTCACTTTAATTAAAGACATACATACGCAGCTACTAGAGAAGAAGGGTTAAATATTTCTGAAAGTCGGACTCTGTGAAATAACCGGTAATTTTCTACACATCATCATCACCTATTGGCACTTGGTATCTGTTAATAGACAATTTTTAAACTGTCTTTCCTTTAATGCTGCAACGGCACTAATTAATTATCTGTGATGTTAATAAATAGTTTAGCTTTGGTAATAAAACAATATCTGCACAGGGCAAATTATTTACGAAGAAACTAAAAATTATACTGACTGACTAATAATTGGATCTCAAACAAATGTGGCAATTAATTTTAATATCTTTGATTTTCAAATGTATAGAGATCAGCAAATTCAACGGCGTAATAATTTAAATATGTGTAACACTAATTCAAACTATATCCACGGACCCATCTCCTTCTCGAGGAGTCCGACTGCATCGTGACGCTCCTGAAATCATAAATATTATGCGTTAACTAATATTTATTAACTAATTTAATACTTCATTTATGTAATCACTTACCATTAATCTTAAAGCATTTAGCAAATCTGTAATAGCTTCTGGTTTTCGATTCTTAACATCCCATAAATCTAAAATGTGTTCCGTTGGGCTGGAAGTCTTCATTGTGAGGTATTTTGTATATCTGAATATTATACAAATGTATATATTTAGCAATAACTCTGAAAAATTTATGTATGCAATTTAATTTTAAGTCACCTTTCATCGACACCCAACTTTTTCGCCAAAAGTCTCCAGTCCTTCCCGTTCGGATGATTCTGATCTAAACAATGACATAGTTTCTTCTTCAGGGTTTGTGGTAAGCGAGAAAGTGGACTATTCGGTTCGAGAGTGACCATAGAGCTGCAACCACTAAAGAAAATGAAAGTGCATGATTAAATTTAATTGTAGTCATTTAAAAAAATCATTTATGTAGAAAGTATGTACCTGCTCGTTACTGTGGATGAGCGCGGGGCCATCGTTACCTCCGGGGAAGACGTCGCTACTCCAGAAAACTGGTTTGTTCTTGACTTCTAGGATATTTTACAGAGTTAGTCATATTTGCAAAAAACATGATCCATACATTCAAAGAATTTCGCTTGTTTCGAATTTTTCTCACATTTCCACTCAATTCAGTACGAATCCGGAATGTGATTTTCTGCGATGTCAATTTCTGAACGTGACCATTTCTCAAGTAGTTATGAACATGCTGGTAGGCCACCAACCGGAAACATATCGCATTTACGCGACGCTCCGTCTTCTCCAGGGTGAAAGAACAGTGAAGATCAGATTGTCTGTTGCCCCACACACGACAAAACTCGAGTTCCTAAAGAGAAAAGAAAAATATATTTAGTAAAGAACAATAAGTCTTATGTACAATTAGTCATGATGCTTTTCTTCCTAGAAATTTGGCACATCATTTAAAATGAGCATACTTGCATACTTAACCAATCAATCATCATTATATACCCCACAAATTTTCTCTAAAGTTGCACGTAAATCTAACTCTAAAATTCCATCCAAATCATGACAAGACAAACATTTTCTACTGTAATGCAATCACCAGTGGCCGCGGAAGCCGTGGGGACATCTGGGGACATTAATTTTGGTTTATATAACATGGGCAGATGTGGGGACCGAAGCGTGTCCCTCTGTCCCCACGCTTCCACGGCCCTTGATGCAATCACATAAATAAAGAATAAAGCCTTTCCTCCAAGCTTGCATTTTTCTGTCGCTGGCGCTTTTCCTCGTTTCCATTGCCATTTATTTCCTGCTTGTCCTCTCTCAGATCACAACCAAGCAGAGCAAATAAAGCAAATGACAGAAATGATTTATCGCCAAAAAAGCCATGTGGTGGTGAACTGGACCTGGAGGGATTGTGCGTGTGTGTGTGCGTTACTTAAACCTCGTGAATAGTGTATAACGCACTTCACCTCCACGCTGCTGCTCAGACAGAGCCGACAAAATAAATTGACTAAGACATTAGCTACCAGATCTCATTTAGTTGTGGGGTCTATCAAGAGAAATATAAAAACAATGCGAAACAGAATTTGAGCCCTGCCCGGGTCATAAATAACTGATGACAGCTAAAAGGAAGGCATTTAGTCCGTCGTCTCGTCGTCGAAAGGACAAAGGAAAGAAAGCTTGTTCATATATATGGATTGCAAAAACGAGACAACAAATGTAATTGATCGATTCTTAGCGATCGTTTTTCTAGTTCGAAATAATACTGTTATTGCGGATGGAATTTTTCATGTATTTTTATTGACATTCTTCTCAATTTCGGATCAGTGTTCCGGGTGGAAGTAACCGTTTGCAAGAAATAATGGCAAGAAAGAGGTTTCTTGCAGATATTTTGAGCTGCAAGAAATGTAACGTGCAAGAAACTACGCCCCGTCGCTCGGCTTAATGGCGCATATTTCTTGCACTTTCTCCCAGTTTCTTGCATCTCAATTTCTTGGGTTTCTTGCTTTGTAATGCAAGAAATGCAGCAAACGAAACACTGTTGTTCCCCATATCCGAGTTGGTACGTCAGACTTTGCGTCAAACGGTTCGACTCCAAGTCAAATCTGATATCCGGGCTGAATATCTTAGAAAAAACGGTATCCAAATCGAGGTCACATTTATGCTGAAACGTCTGAAATTTGAGCCAATTCTTTACCTCGCGGCTCCCCATTGCTGACAACATTTCCGTGAAATGGGACATTTGAAATTTTATAGTACACACACAAGGGTCATTCTATTCGGATGAATGCGGATCTGTGAGTCCCTCCACACATAAAAACCATCGGTACTTAAGGGACATTAAGATAAGAAATGGGAACACGGAATACCCCGTTGGGCATGAAAAATCCAAAGCTTCAATGACCAACCCAATTCTAATCTTGCATTTAAATGTGGAATTATTGCTTTCACCTTTGCCCCGAAAGGGTAATATTTTCAAACCTGAGTGTCGTCCATACGGTTTAAAAAATATATTTATCGGTGAAACGTGCCATTTCGTGACGAAACCAACTTTTAAAAAATATGCGTGAAAAAAACACGAATCTTTTTTTGGCACACGAGTAATTTTTGACTTTCACTTGAATTTTTGGCAGCGATTTTGTACCCTGACTCCATGTGGTCTGATCTCTCTCTCGCTCTCCTGGTATAAGAGCTTGTTGTATGGATTGGATGGCATAAAATGTCAGGATGCATACATACATCATCGTAAGAATGTTGAGGAAAGAGAAAGTTGAACTTTAAACCGAAAGCAGCAAAAAAACCTCACTCCTGAACTGAATGGATATTGAATTGAGCATTAAAGATCGAAATTCCCGTGGAAAAGTTCACCATAACCGAACCGCTAACCCAACAAATCTGGCAAAGGTGAAAGATTTAAGATGATTTCAACTTCCTTCTTTGGTTTTTCTCGTGTTTTTGTGGCTTGGATGCTCTTTTGGCTTTGGTTTTGGTTGGTATTTCGCTGTTTGGCAAACCAACATGCACACAAGCAAGTAAGTAGGAAACGGAGGAAAGTGGAAAGTTGGAAAGTTCTGGGGAAAGTTGTCTGTACGGAATGGAATGGTGGGTCGTGTGGTGGTGGTGAAAGCAAAGCATAAAGAAAGTTTGGTTTGGTAGGATCGGCCTCGTGTATGTATGAATTATATGACGACGACGAAACGCCAGACCAGGAGGAACAAATAAAATGCCGGAGCGATGAGATGTATGTGTTTTGCTGGCAGACTTAAGCCTCCCGGCGTACGTTATTTGTTCGACTCACAACTTGGCTTAACTTTTACTCATAATTCTGTATAAGCTCCGAGATCTGTTCGTCTGTCGCTACACACATAATAACTTATTGTGCCAAATTGAAAAGTTGCGAATCCATTAATTTACTACTGACTTGTTACTTCACATTGCTAATAAGATTACTCATCGTGTTTCTTAAAATAAGGCGAAAATGAAATTATGAGACGACAGCCGATATATGTACCAACCTGGTAACTTCCTTTGCATTTCCATCCAGTTCCAATGTCCTCGAGAGAGATGCAAAGGTTTTCACCGCCGTCTTGGAACAATAAACTTCTCGGTTTATCCAAAACTTTGCCACCGAGCCCTTTCTCTCTTGACATTACGCGCTGAAATGAAATAAGGAGACACAAAGATGTTGAAATATTTTGCAAATTCCAAATCCTACTCGGGCCATAAATAACTCATGTAAGAAGATCTCGTATGTACATACCTCAAGGGCCGCTGTGGTGTCGTCCAATACGTAGACACGTATCGTGTATTCATTCGTCGTGGTTGGATTGTTGACTTGAGCCTGAGAAAAGGCTACGAGGCGAAGCGTCTTGACCGCCTTTCTGCCCAGTGTGGACTCTCCGATTAAGGCAAATTTCGATAAATGATCGGTCACTAGGTATACTTGGTTGCTGTCCATTTGCAAGAATACCGGAGTGTCCATTGTCTCTTCGCCGACGGTTGCCAATTTCTGGACAAAAAGTAGGAGTATAGAAGCCTTGTAAATATGTAAATATTTCAGAAATCTTACCTTCCAATTCCCATAATTATTGTCCGACGACGACGTACTGGAACTGGTGAGAGTTTCGTGCTCGTAATGATACAAGGAAATAATCCACCCTTGGTTCGACATCTTTAGGGCTGCGCAATGTTGAAAGCTCAGGATCTGAGGAAAGAAAGACGCAAAAATATGAGAAACTTGAATTGAAACGAGGCAGATAAGACTACGTCATGTATGTAAATCCTTCTTACGGCAGGTTTTTTCAATTGGACGTTTCTCGGGCCGCACGAGATAACTGGACTCAAGAGGGTTTGCCCATCTGAAATAAGTGCAGAAATGTAAATTTATAGGCAACGAGTGTGTGAGGTGAGGTCGTGGATTGGATTTGTCAGAATCATCATCACTGAATTGTAACGAAGCGAGGAACAAAGGATTTTAAGGAACAATGGACACTCAACTGTAGTAAATTGCCTTTCAACAAACGAGTCAAACTAAAACTACAAAACAAGAGATAAATGTCAAGAATGAGAGTAAAGTTTCTCATTGTTTTATGAACGACACGATGATAATGGCCGCCACGCTTTTACAATACACGCTATTGTCTCTGTACAATGGCGGCGCGTTTAAATAAATTCATAACAAACTCACCAGCGAGATGGGGTCGGTCCTTCTCGTCGGTGAGGATGGCACAAAAAACCTCTTCCGTTTTGGCAAGACTTCCCTCAGGGATGGTGAGATTGACCAAAGTGTCCTTAACGGTCACTCGACATCCGGACGAGTTGGCGTGTGCCCATGAAATACAGTCAGGATCACAAGTTTCGAGGAGCAGGCTGGTCGAAGTTATCGAGTCTCTGAAGAGGTTGGCACCACCACCCCCACTGCTTCCACCTCCTCCTCCGCCGCTGATGCTTCCGTTGACACCCGCTCCACGTCCCATGTTTTCGGGGGATTCGTCGTAAAATAAAGAGTTGGGACGAGAAGGTCCGGCTGAAAGTGGAGGAGAAATTGTAAATATTTTGTAGTCGCAGTTATAGCAGGGCATATATGTAAGTATGTAGTTTATTTAGAGCAACTTTCACCCCTTGAGACAAACAAATGTCTTAAATCAGACGCTAAATGTGTCCGGTGGGGAGTCAGAAATATTTTATATTATTTAAAAGTTAGTGATGGTAAACCTGCACCACAAATCAGGTGAACTGCGTACATATGTAAATTACAGTTAGAAACAAATATATAAACCCAACCCAACCCTTTGGTCAGGTCGCCCTATCGAGAAATCCGAAATTCCTCCTGGTTGCCCTTCTCCTCAATACTGGATAAAGATATCGACCCCTTTTCTCTCCATGTATTCACATACTAAGCTTTACTTCCGGAAGGAAAAGTTAATTGTCACTCGTCAATCTGTTCAATTCAATAAATCATCGTCTTGTCTTACGTCCTTCCGTCCGTCCCACGGAGGAATCGGGTGGGAAAAGAATACCCACAACCTCGAATAAAGAACGTCGTGTCCACTGGAGAGAAAGACGTGATAAAAAGGTGTCAAAAATGTGGCTGACATCAAAGCCCGTAATGTGAACCATATCATTCGATTTGTACAAGGGTTTTCCTCCACTTGAGTGACGTGCAACGTAACGTGCAAGCGTTGTGGCGTGGCGTGGCGTGTGTGCGTCTCTCCTTGTGGAGGAATGTACGGATTATAGATTTATTTGTGGAGTGACATGTCGTCGTGGAGGAAAGAAATCGAGGAATGGATGATGTTATGTATGGCGCCTTTGTCCATTCGGGATTGGAACGTATTTCATGATTCGAGAGAAAAGAGTGTGTGTGTCCGTGTGATGTGGGTGGATTGAATCTGGATCGCTAGATACGATTCTGATTCAATCAATTCCACACCATTGGACTGAACTCGGTCGAAATCAATCTTATTTCCACGCCACGCCACGGTAAACAACCAACCTCAACCTGAACATACTCGTTCATTCCGGAACAATTATGGATTATCATCGGTGTATGAAACAGATCATGAATTAAGAAAATACTTACAGGATGAACTAAACGAACTGGAAACGCTGTCCGAAGAGACGCATCGTGGAACCCCACCGTTCTTGTCCGAGTACGTATTCTTGTCCACGTTTTGTTGATGCATACGCACCGTGTTTTCCTCGGATGGCGTCGTCAACGCGGTAACTGCAATTCCATTGTTGCAGTTATTGTTCATGTTGAGACCATTTATGAGGAGAGGAGACTTTGGGTGGTAGTGGTTCAGACTTAGGGACGCGGTATGAATGTTGGGCTGCAGGTGGAGATGCGGAACGTCGTAGTGATGATGATCGGCTAGTAATGGGGAAAAAATAATATGTAATAATGTTGAAAACTAGCGAGTAATTAATACGGGATGAGGCTCAATTTAATTATGAGAAATAGATCCCACCTGGGGTGAGCGGAAGTGTCTCCTTGTGAGAATTGGAGGTGGATCCGGCAGGATAAGTATATTCAGGGAAGAGTAATCCCACCCCAGAGTTGGTTGATCCGTTGGACGTATTTGCTGTGAGGTCGGGTTGCATGCCCAGTTTTTTCGAGTGATCAGGAAAGTAGCCAGGTGGATAATCTGTGGAGAAGAGGAGGAGAGACTATTAATCAACATTTTGGTACAATTTCAGGAAAATTTCGGGTTTCTTAGCCCTTATTCTTTATCAATAAGACTAGTTTTACGGTGGTGTGGGCAAAAAATGAGTGTGTTGAGATGTGCATTCGCCACATTTATTTGTAAAAAAGGTTTAAAAATGTTATTGTTGTGTTACGTGAAATAACATGTCAATCATTTTTGACATAATTCTACTCGTATGCGGAAGGAAATTATGCAACAACTAGTCAATATCCATCATCAGGTCGTTTTTTAGTATTTCATTCCGGTGCAAATATGTATCGTCACCTTCATTTTTTACTGTTATGTAGTGAACACTGAACGAAGAAGAATCATGTACGAATCGATAAAAAAATCACCCACATTATTTGCTTAAAAAACTACAGAAACAAGAAGGCACCATTTTTGTCCAACACGTGTAAACCTCATCGGAACCAGCTATTAAACAACATTTATTTATTACCAGGCAGAAAGTGAGCAAGAACAAGTATGTATGTATGAAGTTGGTTAATAAGGTTCCTAGTCCTCTGTTTCATCCAAGTGGTGGTATGTAGTTAGGCTTCAGTAGGAGAGAAGGAAATGACAAAGATTGGTTACACTTGCATTCCGTTATTGCTTGTCTTTCTGGTGAAAGTTGCATTTCGAGCTACAGGGTGTTCCTCAAGAGCAGAAACATACCGTGCTTTACTTGCACACAACAGCTTTCAATGGAGGTCTCCCAGCGTATGTTCTCAGATTTTGATCAAACTAGTGTCAATCTATCACAAATTTAGTAAATAAAAATTTTTCAAAAGACAAGATCTCCCAATGGTCACATTTGGTAGAGATATTTGCATCCGAAGAGTAGAAAACGCGGAGTAAATTTGGAAAGTGCAAAATTTGTCAACTTTAAGGCGATTTTCTCCTCCTTGAATGCAAAAATCTCTGCAAAACGTGACCATTAGGAGACCGTATCTTTTGTAAATTTAATCTTAATCAAATTTGTGATCGATTGACACTGGTTTAATCAAAAATCGGAGAGCATACTTTGGGAGAACTCCTTTGTATAAAACTCACGAATGTTAAATAATATGTACCATGTACTGGTGCCCGATCTGTTAAAATCTTATCAATCATGGAAATACCACCGGTGCAAAATTATGCATAAGAACCTGCCAAATTTCTCCACCCCACCCGATACGCAATCCTGCAGTTAACAAAGCAAAACGATGACGACGAGAGAGAAGCCTTTTTTGCCTCCACAACCATCCCACCTCATTGAGCGAGGAGGCAGAAGTCTCTTTTGTGCGGAGATGATGAGGAAAGTTGTGCTCCCCAGGACAATATATTAATGTCGTTGGGTTGCTTTCATCAAGAAATTTTTCCATCTAACAACCCAGCAACTTATTCTCTGCCACTGTTTCCCTTCTTTCTTCTCCTTCTCCCCATCCGATGAGAGATTTTGGGCAGACTTGCTCATCCGAAACGGCCCTTGTCAGTCTCAATAACTGGCTCTACTAACCATCGAACTTTCTCCATTCATTCACTCATAACATGACTCGTCCCGATGTGTGTAACCCATTGTTGTGCGTGTTCTCTGGCGAATATTTGTAGTGCAGGCAGAGAGATAGCAGGATCCGATCTGGATGGGGGTTGGTCGAGTCGAGAGGCATCTACTTTTATAGTTTTACAGCTTTATCTCCCTCCACCCACCGACTCATCGGAGAGAAACATAACATTACTTTCATTCTGCTCTTACATAGTCAGTGGTGAAATGTACGATACTGCATTCCCACCATCATCCAAAGACGGGTGGATAATCAATGGAATGAGATGACAAGATATTTTATTGTTTCGTTTGTGCACTCGCTTTACACACACTGACAGAACGGTTTAAGTGTGACATTAGATCAGATCAGGGGATGCTTCCGAGAGTCAATGTCTAACAAGATTATGAAGGAGGGAAAGATCAAGTAGGGAATTTTATTAGTTTGGTGGTCTTGAAAAGATGAATCATGCAGAATAAGTAACAGATACGAATTGGCCAGTTTAGTTTTCTTTTTAAATATTTGTGGTACTTGCACGTTAAAGCTTTATTGTGAAAGGAATAAGATGAAACGTTGAAAAGCTATTGCTCAATTGTCAATCTGTGCATGTACATTTGGCTTTAAAACGATAAATAAACGAAAATTTCAGATGAAAAGATTAGTGGTGGTTGGTTATTTTTGATTGATTTTTACAGAAATTCCAGTATATCTGCAATTTCCGAGAGATTGGTGCATGAAATTCACACCAATAGTTTCATGATCAATCAGAAGACATCCACGCACCTATGATTTCGTTTAATATGGCAAATTCCAATATAATTTCATAGCGTCACTTTAATTTTACATTTTACAAAATGCTAAAAATTCTGTTTCAACTTTTACTCCGGTATCTCTCATCTTGCTGAAAAACGTTTATCTCCTCCGTCCTCACTTTCTTCCGTCATCAGGAATGCATTCCAATCTCTCTCTCTCGAGAAGAAGAAAGAATCACATTTTACTCACACTTCGCTCCATTTGAAACTTTTCCATGTTTTAACTTCTGCTTGAACAGCTGCTACTACTGATTTCTATCATCGTTCTCAAGCAAAGTAAAAATTTTACTCTTTCTTCGCCTCCCCTTAAAAAAATTTGTACAAAATCAGCCAAGCTTGTAAAACTTGCTGCTTTCCCAGGCACCAGTTTGTGTGCAGTGCAGTGCAGCATTCCCAGAATTTTTATTGCATTTCCGTTTCAAGTGCATTGTTTTAGTTTTGGGTGCACTTTTTACCGACCAACAAACATATCATTACATTACTCTTCCCATGGAGAAGAATAAGAATGCAATGCAAACAATCCAATATATTTACTCTTTGGAATAATACAAGCACCCTCTTGTCCAACACACAAATGGCCCAATCCGACCCTCCCCCACTTTCGTTCCGAAGAAAGAAATAAAACAAATATTTCTTGAGACTTTGTACAAGTTTTTCTGCTCAAGGAAATTCCAGCTCGGGTTCCACTCTTTTGTACACATTTACAGATATACATCACCATTTTTATTCTTCTCTCTTCACCAAATTCAATCTCTCACTCATCTCAAAAACAGTATCACTTTCCTTTGTAAATATCAATACATAAATAAATTGAAGATACACCATTTTAAGAGTAGCACCACAAATAGTAAGTGAAATGAATGAAATGAATGAGTATTAAAGTAGCAAACAGTTAGATATTAAGCAAAGGGTGGGGGCAGCCTGGCATGTAACTTTGATTTCGTGATGGTTGGTTAGTTTTTCTATGTAAAGCCCGCAAAATGTATTTCATCTGTACAAGTAGTTACACCAAGATAGTCATAGTTTGTCCTCTTTCCGTAAAGTTTAGTTAGTTGGAAGAAGAGTTAATGAGGCGAACAGATTTTAGAGACTTTCTCCTCCCAGCGAGTTTACTTGTGGTACAAGTCTTAAAGTCTGTGAGTAAAGTAAGTAAACACATAAATGCCTAAAGTGGTTAAATATCTGTAATGCAAACAATGAGCTTAACTTTCTCTGTTCTCCTTGCTTGAGGAGAAGATGAGTTGACAACTTTACCAATATTGGGGAAGAAGAAAGTCAGTTCTACAAACCAACTTTCCATCCCTATCTCTCCCATCTTACTGTCTATTTAATGTTTGCTAATTCTATTTATCTTCGTCATCTCATCAGCAGCCATCATCATCATCGTCACAAAGTTGGACTCGTCACAGTCACAGAATGTCAGGCCAGGCTTTGTTTTTGTGTCCCGTTGTAATAATAGCGAAGCAAAGTTTAATTTTCGTTCTAACGTTCTGCATTTCTTTTCCTTTGTTAATTATAAATTCAATTTTCTTGCCGATGTTGTGTAACGAAATCATGTCTGTTTCCTATCTTTTGTTACACCGTTTAGGGAAACAAAAGGTTCTTGTTTTCTAATTTTCGAGGTTTGACTTGCTCATTAGAGAAGACAACAGTATTAAAATGTCATGAACTGAAATGTCTGGTTGGTTGATACATTTATCTTTTAGAATGGCGACCAGACCACAAAATTCACAAGGTAAAAGTCAGCCAGACTATTAAGTATAAATATGTACGAGGAAAATGTTAATGTGGAGCTAATGTGGATTTGAGTGAAAAGTGAAAGTCATGATGATGACCCTCCAAGCAATCCGTCAGTGTTCCGTACAGATGCATCTAATTGTGGACAGAGTCATTAAGTCATTGGAGGACTGGGATTGAGTCAGCCATAAATTCTTACGGGAAATTCGGGGTTTATAACCGCCGTTCCGAATTTCTCTGGTCTGGTGGGTAGAGTACAACTAATGGATGGAATGGACTAGGTCTGGTGGTCTGTTTATTTATTTCTAAATATTATTCAGAGTCAGACATCTAGAGGAGAATATGATTTAGTTTATTCGAAAATTACGTAATAGTATGTATTACATAAATAAGTTATTAAATTGTTATTCAAGAAATTGTTTAGAGTGTGATTTTTAAAATCTGAATAATTTTATGTCTGATGAAAATCACAGTGAGTGATTGAAAGCTAGCAATTTTTAAGTAAAATCAAGTACTTATTACCCCGAAAACCGTAGAGAAGTCTGATTAAGTATTGGGATTGCTATCATCAATTGGTGCCATTTCAAATAATTCCCTAAAAATTTTAGCTACAAAAATGAGATTAACTACATTAGATGACTAATATTGGTAAATTTAGGACACAAAATTATTTTCCTGCTATTTCATCCGTCTATACACATTTATATCTCCAATTTTCTCTAGCTACAACCTCCCTTGCTTTCCCTTTCCCTTCCTCCAATTCCATTTCGATTCATTTACGCTACGGTGCAATTACTTCCACGCACATAGTTGTGGCTGCCCCGCAACTATCCTGCTACTGGTTCTGACATGGAATTATTTAGAATTATATTTATTCCTCCAGCATTTC